AAAGCCGGAAGTGGCACTGTGGCTCAAGTGGTAGAGTGCTAGCCTTGAGCTGAAGAGCTGAGGGACAGCACCCAGGCCCAGACTTCAGGCCCCACAACCGGACCCCCCCAAAAAAAATTCACTCAGATCTTAGCCTCCTGAGTAGCTACGATTACAGGCGTGAGCCACCAGCGCCCGGCTTTCTTACGGCCATTTCTTGTGGAGATGTAGGGAAAGGTTACAATGAGGTTTTAGATGTTAGCATTTGCTTGAGGAAAAGCATTCTATTTTCTAAAACCCACTTTTGGAAAGAGAAATTCTAGTTTCTTTTTTTTTTGGGGGGGTCCACTTCTCCACGTCTGGCATTTTGTGGAGATAGGTTAATTGGAGATAAGACTCTCATAGACTTTCCTGCCCAGGCTGGCATCAAACCACAATCCTCAGAATTCAGCCTCTTGAGTAGTTAGGTTTACAGGCGTGGGCTACAGGCGCCTGGCCTGTAAATACATTTTCTGTCTGTTAAGTCTAGAAGTTACAAGAATAAGAGCTACTTATTTGCAGATTTAGTGCTAAAAAAACAGAAGTTACTAAACGAGAGCTAAAAATTTAGTGCTGCTACTAAATTTACCTCTACTTTAGAAGTTAAATAAAAAACCCAAGTGGAATAACCTGGTGAGTTACCCATTCTCTAGAAATTGTAGCTCTTTGAGTTGAATACAGTTGCCTCAGAACACTGTGCTGAGTACTTCAAAGCTTAATAATTCCAGGAAAAATTTCAATTCCAGCTGGGTGCCAGTAGCACAATCCTGTCATCTCAGCTTTGCGAGAGGCTTATATTGGTTGGCTTATACCTCCAGGCCAGTCTGGACCAAAAAAGTATAAGACTCCAGCTCAACAGAAAAAAATCTAGATGATGTGGGTCACACCTGTTAGTGCAGCTACAGTGAGAAAAACATAAGTCTGGGAAGTATAAATAGGAGGATTACAACCTGGCCAAAAAACAAGAACAGAAAGAGTTGGAATTGTGGTTTGGGTGGTAGAGTGCTTGCCTAGCAAGCACACAAACCCCAGTATTGCCAAATAATAAAGAGAACAGTAGCATAATAAATGTGTATAAAATATATAAATATGTAATTTTTTTTTTGTCAGTTGGGTTGAACTCTGGGCCTGGGGGCTGTTCCTGCGCTCTTCAGCCCAAGGCAAGCCCTCTACCACTAGAGCCACAGCGCCACTTCTGGTTTTCTAGTGGTTTATTGGAGATAAGAGTGTCTTGGACTTCCCTGGCCAAATCCAGGCTGGCTTTGAAATGTGATCCTTAGATCTCAGTCTCCTGAATAGCTAGGATTACAGGTGTGAGCGAGCCACTGGTGTCCGGCTAAATATGTAATATTTTATAAATATATATTTATATGATAAATGTAGCAAATACATATTCATATTATAAATGTAATATAGAATATACTCTAAATATATAAATACATATAAAATAACATTAACAACTACTATATAAATAAAATATCTAGGCGCAGGGAAGGAGGCTCAGTGGGAGAGTGCTTGCCTTGCATGCATGAGGCCCTGGGTTCGATTCCTCAGCACCACATAAGCA